AGTTTGCTTACCTATAATGCCATCATGATGCACATACAGCTCATTCAATTCATTGTAGCTCTCCGTTAATGTTTTCAGTCGCACCTTTGTATGGTCGAGTATTTCTGTATAGTATTTAATCGACGTCACATAAAGCGCTGTTTCGCTGAGATTAGCAAAAAAATCCTCATGCGTGGAAGCCTTATTAGCATCATCGACAACGCTCAAATTAATGGCAAGCTGTGAATTGAGTTTAAAGTTTTAGAAAGTTAGCAAAGTGCATATGTAGTATATGTATGTATGGATATGTGTGTACATATGTATTTAGCATTCGAAGAGTGTATCTATTTGCGAATGTCTGTTCAGCAGGTTCTCTAATGGCTGGTATGTAATGTTGAATTACTTTACGAAGGGCAAATCTACAGGCTGCCCGTGCGTATGAGTAACTTTTGTAATATTTAAATACGTGACGGTAACAATGGCCTATTGACCGAGCAACAGCACAAACAAATTTTTTCCTACTATTGGTCTTCGCTCAGCAGTTAATGGAAAATCGCCGATAGTAATTCTGCCATGAAAACGCTTCTCAAACGTACATAGATACATACATATGTATATGGGGGGGGGGTTTAGAATTTATTAATTTAAAATTGACCGGGATGGGCGGTATCGGGAAGAACTATAAAAACATGGCGGGCGGGACGGGACCAAAATCCTTTCCCGACAATCCCGATAAAACCGCAACCCCCGCAAATTCACAAAATCTTCCTTAAAAACAATGTTTGAAATATGCACTTTTTTAAACAATTAAAACAATAATCGGAAGATACCAGATCTATGATTATTATTTAAAATTAATTTGAAAGACATGAACATTTTTGTCAACCGTCGATCGGTTTGCAAACCACGCCACACTCGTTGAAATCTCAACCGATCGTTTCAATTTGTTTTCCGTTTGTAGCCTGCTTTAGAGATAGATTTCGGGACCCACGGGACCCGCGGTACAATTCTGAAAAACGTCGGGATGGGCGGGTTCGGGACTTGAAAATTGAATTTCGGGATGGGCGGGATCGGGATTAAATATTTAGTGCCCATCTCTATTCCATACCAAAATGGACGTTGATGGAAAAACATAAATAATAAACAAATATGAAATTTGAGCTTGATTAATACGTTTTTAATAGTTTACC